TCTCAGGACCTGGAACACATCAGAAATATCATAATAGAAATATTGTTTTTGACAAAGTCCTTCCATGGACTTTTTTTGCTGTTCATATAAAGTAGAACTAGCCTGACATTAAAGCTGCGTTATTTACATCTACATGCTGAAGTTTGTAGAGAGAGTGCAGTTTTCCTTCTGTAAAAGAGGCCAATGATCTACAGGATTCTATTTTACAATCAATGTTTTTCATCAAATCAAACAGATTTTTTTCTAATATGGTGAAATAATAATAACTATGAAATTGATCTGTGGGTACAGATAATACTACTGGCAGACCTCCAGTTGCTGACAACTGCTGTGGTAAGACGTAGAAGAAGACATGTTCAACTCAGTCTGCAGACTGAGGACACACTGCCCTGCCCCTGCTGACTGCTGCAGGGAACACATTTTATTAATATTGAAAGTATTGCATGTCCAAATTGTGCCCCACATTTAAGTAAACCTAGCTCAGGCCATTAACAATACACAGACAAAGCCGATAAGATGAATGGTTTGCGAGATATATGTGCCACATATAGACAGACAGATGTTTGTGGAATTTACGGGCAGATATTTTTGCACTGCATTGCTGGAAAATACAACTGCTTTCATTAATATTCCTGAACCACTGTTTTGGTTCCAACAGGATCCTAAGGAGCGGCTGGGATGCCAGGTCCAAACGGGCTTCACAGACATCAAGTCACACACATTTTTCCGCAATATAGACTGGGACCAGGTAAGAGCTGCCTGAGGAGACAGAAGAGACATCCTGCTGTTATTCATCAGGCGGTTGTGTATTGCTGTCATCTCACGGAGTTACTCTTCCCTCACAATGACTCTGTAATCTTACACACATCTCGTGACCAAAACAGAGCAGGGATCACATAGATGTATCGATATAAATTGATGACAAAGACATAGTGTATGCTTTAATATGACAACAGCCATTTTCTACAGAATATGTGCAACATTTTGCCAGATTATTGTGTGTATGCTTATTTTTTTGCCTGCACCTCTGAAGTAGATTTATATTTTATTTCAGAGACCGTTCTTTCTATCGTCCTCACCCTCACTCACTATTATCCACAACAGCAGCAGCAACGTATCAGTGTATTTTCTTTATTAGTGACATCACTGCTGTGGCCACCAAACCATCTGTCTTTCTTCACCTCCACCTCACTAACAAACTCCTCGATGTCAGTGTCAGAGAGTTGCTCTTCTTCTTCTTCTCATCGCTTGATGCCAAGATTCACTGTAGAAACCCACTGGTCAATAGGAGAATTTAATATACATCCACTTTGAGGCAGATCCACGTACGTAGATTTTTAGTCCAACTGAATCAGACTCTGGCTTGTTCGTACTTGTGTGCTCGACATATCGAGTCTCTCATAGCTGTTTTACACCTAAATCAATATATGTGTGGCTTTTTTTGGGGCTTTTTTATGCGGATAAAAGCCAGTAAAAAAGGCGACTGACCTGCTGCACCACCCCTTACCTTCTTCTTATCTTTGTTTGGATTAATGGCGGGTGGCAACCAACATCAAGGTAAATTACCACAATTCACTGTGTTGGTGCACTGCTCTTGGAGGACAGAGCGAGCCCCTATTCCAGAAAATCTATTTCATATATGGTCCTTGGGTAGCATCATTTATACAGATAAAACATTTATATATCCCTCCACCCATTCATGCACATTGTCTCTAGTTGGCACAGAGATGTACGTGTTGTTGTGGACTGAGCAGAGAATCTCCTACTGCATTGATGTGTGAAAGGCAAACTCCAGAGAAAGTCAGGACCCAGTTCTGCGGACATCCTCGTGAGCTCATGTCTGAAAACAGCTACAGTTTGTTTTCCCTGGACTATCGTGTTTGCACTCATAGTCATTTATCAAGGGAGTGGATTCTGATTGTGTAAATTCCACTTGTATAAAATCCAGATGTTAGCAGGTCTTAGTGGGTTTTTAGACCAGTGGAAAGGGACTTAACAGTAAGAGGAAAGAATGGGGTTTACCACCTCCAGGTTATGTAACGACTTTGTTCGTATGGAGACAGTTTGAGTAGGTGATCCTCCACATGTTCCACTTACACATATTTACTGTAGAATCATTGATCACTGGTGAGATGCGGCTTCGTGCAGCTTCCTGTCAGACTGCTGCTGACAGCTGATCTGGGGTTTGACTTTACAACCTGTCAGTTAATGTAGAACTAATGTGACAACAACAGACACAGAACAAACACGGCACACACCCACATGTAATGCCAATCAGCTCTGAGAACAGTGCACTGCTGTCACACTGTGTTCTGACTTGCTTTTGTCAAACTGGATAGTGTGTGTCTACTGTAGACTTGAAGAGCGCCGGCAACGCGGAGAACACACCCTCCCATTTACAGTCTGAACAGGCACATGAGTGAGGTGGAGCCCTTTGTGTGCGTGTTAAAAAATAGATGACATCTTTACAGACACTGTGTGCAGACTACTGCTGCCCTCCCCCCTCTGTGCAGCAACAAGGCAAATAAAAGTGAATTCCTAATCACACACACCTTCACACCAACTGAAGCAGTGGCTGTGGATGTGTACGTTGAGTGATTGATGGCGTAGACCTGACACACAAATGAAACTGACATGAAAGAAGGATACAATCATACAATATTAAGGATCTTTGCTGTTCCAAACTACAATCAGTGAGTAGTTTATTTAACTCCACCCAGCTCAGGCTAATCAGGCTTAGTCAGGAACCATTCAAATTTGTTTAGGGTTAATTCAAAGGGGCAGATCCAGAATATTTCTTTATAACTGTCTTTTAAATTTTAAGAGAGTTTTTGTTTTTTTGACATTTATACCAATTTCTCACATATAAATGGATCTCAATGAAAAAAATGTGTGTGCAGATCTGGATTTAATGTTTTTTTTATGTGGCTTCATTAGTGGTTTGCTCTATGAGTCACATTCTAGATCAAACTGTTTAGAGAGGGACTAGTTCGGAGGGTGTAGTTTGTGTTGCTGTTTTGTTCTGTATTAGGTATTGCATAAGGTCATGTGTTTCTAAATATTGTCCACCCAATGTACATCAGTGAACCAGTTTTAAAAAAGGCAAATCAGTTTTGCACTTCGATTTAATTTCTTGTGATTCTATATCCACACTACTACTAAACACAACTGCAATAAATCAGAAGTCTCAATCATTGGCCCAGACTTCCTTACCTGCCCCACTCTGGAATTCACACTCAATATTGATGGCTCCATGGTCACCCCCTCCACCCCAATCTGCAACCTTGGAGTCATCCTTGACCCCACCCTCTCATTCCCGCCCCATGTCGACCACATCACCAAAACAGTCCCTGACTTTCACCTACTGCGGCAGAAACTCTCATTCATGCTTTTGTGACTTCCTGACTTGACTACTGCAACAGTTTACTCTTTGGTGCCACAAAACAAAGTCCTTCACAAACTCCAGTATGTCCAGAACTCTGCCGTACTCACCATTACCCGCTCAACTGATCATATCACCCCACTCCTCCACTGGCTCCCTGTAAAATACAGGATATCCTGCAAGATCCTACTCACCACCTACAAGACCCTCAACAACCTGGCTCCCCCCTACCTGACACCTCAGATCTGCTGATGCCAACCTCCTGCAGGTCTCTAGGACCCAGCGGGGTGACAGGGCATTTTCAGTCGCCGCCCCGTCTCTGTGGAACACATTACCCCCCACATCAAAAATGCCCCCACACTCCGCCCTCAAAACCCACCTCTTCAGACTTGCCTTCCTAGCTAAACCCCCCCACCCCATGTTTTTATTTATTTTTTTTGTTTTTCTTACCATACCTCATAATCATCATTTTCTTTTTATTTGTATTAAAGATTTTATTGTTTCCTTATTTTTATCCTTCACCATGTACAGCGACTATGACAGCCTTGAATATAGTTATATAAATATGAAGTATTATTATTATTATTATTATTAAATTTTCATTTGAAAACACATCAACTCTGCTATGGATGCGCCTGACGTCTACACTATTCTAGACTTTTAGAGCCTCTAAAATGGGGTAGTTTGGAAAAGCTGCTGGCCCAGCGTTTTAAAACTCCAGGACTTCACTTAAGTCTAGACGGGAAGAAATCGAGATGTCAGGAAACTATGACTTAGAAACTCACGTTAGCTTGCTGATTGTGTCTTTTGGGGTAAAACGTAGTGTGGGTGTAGCCTGAGTTACAGCAGCTCATGTAGAACTTTGAATCTTCTGTGTTAACTTCTGTTCTCATGTGTGACAGAAGTCACAGGTTGTTATATAAGTATCATTAGGCTGCAGCTTGATGTTCAGCTTTTGTTCATCTTCATCACAGAGAAAAGCATGTGGGTGAACTTGACGGCGCACAGACAGCAGCACACAGGCACTGTGACCTCTGGAACACCTGAAAAATAATTTACTAACACCAAATATTCGGTAGGTGAGGATGGGCGCTCGTTCCGTATGCGTCTAGCTGGGCATTGTGCACTGAGCCTCGGCTAGTGGAGCCTGTGCACTCTGCCTGTCTCTCTGGCCAGAGCGAGATGAAGAGAGAAAGACAGAAAGAAAAAGAGAGAGATAAGCCTGAGAGACACGGTGAACTTGATGGTGCAGGCATTTAAAAATAATTTAATATTCTAGCGATAGGTGAGCCAGTCGCTCTGATTGGACGGCATGTTGCAAGGGCTCATGGGAGTTTTTGGCGATGTTCGGCCACTTTGACTGATGTTTTATTTGTGTTCAGACTTGGCTCATGTGGGTTTTGTGTATCTGTGTTTGTTGGGTGGTAATGTTGTGTTTGTTTAAGTTGACTTGTGTGGTCACCAGGACTGTGGGATGTGGTGTCTGTTGTGGGGTCCAGTCGCTTTTCATGAGAGATGTGTTATGTTTGTGTTAAATAAATCAATCAAGCTTGCTGTTGTGCGGCTTATGGGATGCAAGCAAAGTGTTTGAAAGAAAGTTCCGTGCTCAAGTCTCATCATCCTTGGCGAGTGAGTGGATAGGAGCCGGGCTTTGTGAACAGCAGTTCGGCCTGTGGAGCCCGTGGACGTCGTCTGGCTCCCACTCAGAGAGTGGAGAGGAGGGCTCTCTGTGCGTCTAGCCGGGCATTGCACACCAGCGGGTCAGTTAAGATAGACATATGATATTTTGTGGCAGGCTGAATATAATTGTACCATGGGCCAGAAGTGGCCCACAGGCCTTGAGTTTGACATCTCTGCTATAGAGAAACCTGTAGATAATAAATAAAATGTGGCTCTTCAACAGCTACACTCTGGGAATTACTCTGGGATCACCTTGTTTTTTAATTTTAATTAACAACAAGCAGTAGAGTTAGTTGCTTTACACTGTCTGATGCACTGTCTGTTCTGATGCTTGGTATTGTACGTCTCCCTCTGGTTGTTCAGTTTGTTTAAACTTAACATAACAGGCTGGGTGTGAAAACACTGTAAGACTGTGATTGCATTGTATCAGTGGGTCCCCAGGCCTTCACACAAACGATGGATCCAAGATGGAATTAACCATTTAACAGATGCATTCACTTGTCTTGTCCTGTTTAGGATTTTCTTCCCTTCGCTGCAGTTATCCTCATGAACTAAATTCATGAGCAATCCTTGTAGTATGACTCATGTACAGGTTGTACCTTTAAACACTTGTTTGACCAAAGACTCCTTGTGTTTTCATCTGAATCTCACAGTATCAGATGCTATTACAGGCAAACCCTCATTTA